TTTCCCCCTGGGGAGGGGGTAAACTTTACTATAGTTTATATAGGGAAATCACATTTTGGACCAACATTTGTTTAATTTCCATTGGAAGTAATTCAATTTGGGTTAGCATTATCAGTATTAGGTAGCAGTTTGATAGTATGCACCTATGAGCCCTGACTGACCCCCAGGGGCTGATGGGTGGGGCCAAAAAGGGTTGAATTGACTGAAATTTCAAAAATCTTCTTCTCAAGACCCAGATATGGTAGAATCAAATACTCTTCATAGATGGAAGGGTCTTAAGGTGCTTTACCAAATTTGTGAATTTCATGACCCTGGGGTCTCATGTTTCCCTCTGGGGAGGGGGTAAACTTTACTATAGTTTACATAGGGAAATCACATTTTGGACTAACATTTGTTTAATTGCCATTGGAAGTAATTCAATTTGGGTTAGAATTATCAGTATTGGAAAGCAGTTTGATGGTATGCACATATCAGCCCTGACTGACCCCCAGGGGCTGATGGGTGGGGCCAAAAAGGGTTGAATTGACTGAAATTTCAAAAATCTTCTTCTCAAGACCAGATATGGTAGAATCAAATACTCTTCATAGATGGTAGGGTCTTAGGGTGCTTTACCAAAATTGTGAATTTCATGACCCTGGGGTCTCACGTTTACCCCTGGGGAAGGAGGGGGGGGGGCAAAATTTGTTATGGTTTATAATGGCAAATGATGCTTTGAATATTACATGTTGATAACTTGATTGGAATTATAACCCTAAGTTGTCAGTTTGATACTTTGTAAATTTTGAGCCATCCCTACCCCCAAGGGCTGTAGGGTGGGGCCCAATGGAGTCTGTGTGCTAAAATAAAATTTCTTCATTTTCGTTGTTTAGAATCAGAGGTGCTAGTTTCAAATACTTTTCAGTCTTAAATCTGCATGCTAGATATTGAATAAGGTGATTTTATTGTTTTTTGTCACTTTGAATAATATTTCTGTTCATGTTAAAAACAAAAATCAACTCTCTGTATAAATATATCAGGTGACCGTTAAGGCCCATGGGCCTCTTGTTTTATATACTGAACATACTCATATAGTAGCTTAGTGCTGCAATGTAAAAGCATCTAAATCTTGAAGGACTGTTATGACTTTCCTTGGTACAATACATGTACAAATTAATCAACAACTAGAATTTTATGTCAATTTGGAAGTTTTTAATGCAATAGCTATATATATAGGGTGGTTGATATCATGATATCTAGATGCTTGGTACATGTAATGATTTCTTTTTAATTTCTTTTCATCTGATATGATATTGAAAGATACTAGGCCCTATATGTGTGTATTTCTGATATTCTTTAAATTTTTGATTTATTTGACAGATGATGGAGCCATATCATGGGAGGAATTTGTTGCATTTTTTTCTGACGGAGTCATGGGGAAAGAGGAATTGGAATCCCTCTTCAAAGAAATTGACACACACAACACCAAGTAAGCAGTTAATTGTTTCACATTAAGATTTTGTATTTTGTTAATGTCTTTTCAATATTTAAGGCTTTTTTAAATAGAGAGGCCTCTTATAACAACTGGATTGTAACTTGTTTGCATACTACACCAGTTACTGGGTATATCTGTGTATATTCATCCATTTACGGAGTAAATCTGCGCCTAGATTCACCCGTTGCTGGGTAGGCCTAGCCTTGATAAACTGTATACATGTACCTGGATATTTTCGCCAGTCAAACTTTTGCCCTTCGTTTATTACTATGCATATTATGTTGTTTACTGATGTTTGCTGTAATGATAAACTTGCTCTCATTACAATGGATGAAAAATGTGAAAATAAAACTGCAGTGAACATTTCCTGGCATACAGTATACCTATAGCCAATAGACCTGATCTCAATTATGTTTTGGGGAAAATAGTCGCTGATGAAACTTATTTGAAACCTTTTTACATGTTTTGTAGATGATATCTTGATCCATTCACATTTGAAAAATGTTCATAAACTATGGAAAATATGATGCTGTATCTTAATAATCAACTTCAAACTTTTCTTTTTTTAGCTCACCTGGTCCAAAGGACCAAGGTGAGCTTATGCCATACCATGGCGTCTGTTGTCTGTCGTACGTATGTACGTCAACAATTTCTTCAAATGACTTCTTCTTAACCACTGTTTGGAATTTAACTAAATTTGACTGGAAGCATTCCTAGGTGGTGGGGATTCAAAATTGTACAAATGGTAGGCTTAACCCCCCAGGGGGCTGAGGGGCGGGACCAAAAGGGGACAATTTGGCTATATTGCTATAAACAACTTCTGTAGAATTATGCAATGGATATCAACCATATTTTACTGAAAGCATCCCTAGGTAGTGGGGATTCAAAATTGTACAAATGGTTGGGCTGAACCCCAAGGGGGCTGAGATGCGGGGCCAAAAAGTTTTTTTTGGCTATATTGCTTGAAGCGATTTCTTCTCTACAACTAAAAGATGGACATAAACCATATTTGACTGGAGGCATCACTAGGTAATTGGGATTCAAAATTGTACCAACGGTGGGACTCATGACCCTCCAGTGGGCTGAGGGGTGGGGCCAAAAGAGGTCTATTTGGCTATATTGCTTTAAGGGACTTTTCCTCTGGAACTTAAAAATGGATATCAACCATATTTTACTGGAAGCATCCCTAATTAGTGGGGATTCAAAATTGTACAAATGGTGGGGATGACCCCCAAGGGTGGTTGAGGGGCGGGGCCAAAAAGGGTTATTTGGCTAGAATGCTTCAAGCGGCTTCTTCTTTACAACTAATAGATGGACATCAACCATATTTGACTGGAAGCATCCCTAGGTAGTGGGGATTCAAAATTGTACAAATGGTGGGGCTGACCCCCAAGGGGTCTGAGGGGTGGGGCCAAGAAGGGTTATTTGGCAATATTGCTTTAAGCGATTTTTTCTCTACAACTAAAAGATGGACATCAACCATATTTGACTGGAAGCATCCTTCAGTAATGGGATTCAAAATTGTACAAATGGCGGGGTTGACTCCCCAGGGGGTTGAGGGGCGGGGCCAAAAGGGGGCAATTTGGCTAAATTGCTATAATGACTTCTTCTGTAGAACTATGTGCTGTATATCAATCATATTTGGTCAGAAGCATTCATGAGAGGCTGGGATTCAAAATTGTACAAATGGTGGGGCTGTCCCCCCGGCTGAGGGGCGGGACCAAAAAGGGTAATTTGGATATATTGCTATAAATGACCTATTCTGTAGAACTTTGCACTGGATATCAATCATATTTGGTTGGAAGCATTCATGGGAGGCAGGGATTCAAATTGTACAAGTAGTGGGGCTGACCCCCTCGGCTAAAGGGTGGGGCCAACAAAAGTTTATTGTTTGGAAACGGTTGAGATCCCTACCCTATAATCATATATACAATTGCTAAGAATGAAGAGAAGAATGCACATATGCTTTCAGGATTGTTCAGGGGTCTGGCCCCAACCTTGGAGACATATAGTCCCTGTGTCATAACTTTGAAACGGTTTGGATCCCCACCCCAAAACTGTATTTACATGTACAAATGCTGGGCATAAAGAGATGAATGCAATCATGATATAAGAATTGATTCCAGAGTCTTCTCCACCCTTGGAGACTTAACCCCTTGGTCATAGCTTTGAAACGGTAAAGATCCCCACCCCAAAACTATATATACAATTGTTGGGCATAAAGAGACGAATGCAGTCATGATATTATAATTGATCCTGGGGTCTGGCCACAACCCTAAGGACCTAGTTTCTGTGTCACACCTTGGAAACAGTTGATATCCCCACCCCATAACCATACATAAAATTGCTGGGCATGAAAAATCTAATACCGATAGGATACAAGGATTGTTCTTGGGGTCTGGCTCATTCCTTTGGATCTTATTTGGAGAATATTTTGCCATTTTTATTTGGATATCCAGGTGAGCGATACAGGCCCTCTGGGCCTCTTGTTTAAGTTTTAAGGTCTGACAAGGAAAATCTGGAAAGCAAGAATTTATATGGAAATGACTATTAGTATATTTGTCAAATTGAAAGAGATTTCAATTACATATACATTAAGATTTTATATTTGAGATGATCAACTTTAGGAAAGTCTGACCTGAATTTTTTCTTCAGGCTTTTGAGGTCAAATATGTGTATTTGTTTCTTAAAATCAATTGCATTCACTTTAATTTTATCGTAAGTCTATTGTAAATAAACATGTAATACCTTTACCTGGTTGTTTTCAGTAACATAGACACTGGAGAGCTGCACGATTACTTCTGCAAACATCTGGGCCAGTTCAAGGAGCTTTATGATCTAGTGGAGGAGTTTAATACTAAACTGACCAACGTCCTAGTGTCTACATCACAGGTAAACAAACTGACCAACGTCCTAGTGTCTACATCACAGGCAAACAAACTGACCAACGTCCTAGTGTCTACATCACAGGTAAACAGACTGACCAATGTCCTAGTGTCTACATCACAGGTAAACAGACTGACCAATGTCCTAGTGTCTACATCACAGGTAAACAAACTGACCAATGTCCTAGTGTCTACATCACAGGTAAACAAACTGACCAATGTCCTAGTGTCTACATCACAGGTAAACAAACTGACCAATGTCCTAGTGTCTACATCACAGGTAAACAAACTGACCAATGTCCTAGTGTCTACATCACAGGTAAACAAACTGACCAATGTCCTAGTGTCTACATCACAGGTAAACAAACTGACCAATGTCCTAGTGTCTACATCACAGGTAAACAAACTGACCAATGTCCTAGTGTCTACATCACAGGTAAACAAACTGACCAATGTCCTAGTGTCTACATCACAGGTAAACAAACTGACCAATGTCCTAGTGTCTACATCACAGGTAAACAAACTGACCAATGTCCTAGTGTCTACATCACAGGTAAACAAACTGACCAATGTCCTAGTGTCTACATCACAGGTAAACAAACTGACCAATGTCCTAGTGTCTACATCACAGGTAAACAAACTGACCAATGTCCTAGTGTCTACATCACAGGTAAACAAACTGACCAATGTCCTAGTGTCTACATCACAGGTAAACAAACTGACCAATGTCCTAGTGTCTACATCACAGGTAAACAAACTGACCAATGTCCTAGTGTCTACATCACAGGTAAACAAACTGACCAATGTCCTAGTGTCTACATCACAGGTAAACAAACTGACCAATGTCCTAGTGTCTACATCACAGGTAAACAAACTGACCAATGTCCTAGTGTCTACATCACAGGTAAACAAACTGACCAATGTCCTAGTGTCTACATCACAGGTAAACAAACTGACCAATGTCCTAGTGTCTACATCACAGGTAAACAAACTGACCAATGTCCTAGTGTCTACATCACAGGTAAACAAACTGACCAATGTCCTAGTGTCTACATCACAGGTAAACAAACTGACCAATGTCCTAGTGTCTACATCACAGGTAAACAAACTGACCAATGTCCTAGTGTCTACATCACAGGTAAACAAACTGACCAATGTCCTAGTGTCTACATCACAGGTAAACAAACTGACCAATGTCCTAGTGTCTACATCACAGGTAAATAAACTGACCAATGTCCTAGTGTCTACATCACAGGTAAACAAACTGACCAACGTCCTAGTGTCTACATCACAGGTAAACAAACTGACCAACGTCCTAGTGTCTACATCACAGGTAAACAAACTGACCAATGTCCTAGTGTCTACATCACAGGTAAACAAACTGACCAATGTCCTAGTGTCTACATCACAGGTAAACAAACTGACCAATGTCCTAGTGTCTACATCACAGGTAAACAAACTGACCAATGTCCTAGTGTCTACATCACAGGTAAACAAACTGACCAATGTCCTAGTGTCTACATCACAGGTAAACAAACTGACCAATGTCCTAGTGTCTACATCACAGGTAAACAAACTGACCAATGTCCTAGTGTCTACATCACAGGTAAACAAACTGACCAATGTCCTAGTGTCTACATCACAGGTAAACAAACTGACCAATGTCCTAGTGTCTACATCACAGGTAAACAAACTGACCAATGTCCTAGTGTCTACATCACAGGTAAACAAACTGACCAATGTCCTAGTGTCTACATCACAGGTAAACAAACTGACCAATGTCCTAGTGTCTACATCACAGGTAAACAAACTGACCAATGTCCTAGTGTCTACATCACAGGTAAACAAACTGACCAATGTCCTAGTGTCTACATCACAGGTAAACAAACTGACCAATGTCCTAGTGTCTACATCACAGGTAAACAAACTGACCAATGTCCTAGTGTCTACATCACAGGTAAACAAACTGACCAATGTCCTAGTGTCTACATCACAGGTAAACAAACTGACCAATGTCCTAGTGTCTACATCACAGGTAAACAAACTGACCAATGTCCTAGTGTCTACATCACAGGTAAACAAACTGACCAATGTCCTAGTGTCTACATCACAGGTAAACAGACTGACCAATGTCCTAGTGTCTACATCACAGGTAAACAGACTGACCAATGTCTAAGTGTCTACATCACAGGTAAACAAACTGACCAATGTCCTAGTGTCTACATCACAGGTAAACAAACTGACCAATGTCCTAGTGTCTACATCACAGGTAAACAGACTGACCAATGTCCTAGTGTCTACATCACAGGTAAACAGACTGACCAATGTCCTAGTGTCTACATCACAGGTAAACAAACTGACCAATGTCCTAGTGTCTACATCACAGGTAAACAAACTGACCAATGTCTAAGTGTCTACATCACAGGTAAACAAACTGACCAATGTCCTAGTGTCTACATCACAGGTAAACAAACTGACCAATGTCCTAGTGTCTACATCACAGGTAAACAAACTGACCAATGTCTAAGTGTCTACATCACAGGTAAACAAACTGACCAATGTCTAAGTGTCTACATCACAGGTAAACAGACTGACCAATGTCTTAGTGTCTACAAGACAGGTAAAGTAGTATGGGCGGATTGGTCGAGTGGTTAACACTCCTGCGTTCCATGCAGGCTGCCGGGGTTCAATCCCCTAAGTCGTCATACGCGTACAGATGGAATATTCAGAGAGAAAGTGTTTTTCTCCTGCCCACACAACTCCAACAACCCAGGTGGAGTATAAAATGGTCTGGGCTTGATGTTGCAGTATCTGTGCTTTAGCATTCAAGTGAGGTGGCACTACAAATGATACCGTTTGAAGCACGGTCCCACTACAAACAGAACACAATACATCTCTAGCACACACGCAGGCATACACACATAGGGAGATATTAGCCAGGTGGCATAGGACTTGTAATTAGCGCCTGATAAGGCAGCTCCTGCGAATTCCTCAAAATTGTATTGATTAAAGTATATATGTTAATTGTATTGAATGTATAAATTGTATATATATGTACTGTAAAGCGCTTTAGAGTGGCTTATTCTAGCTAGTTAGGGCGCTATATCAAATGTTGTATATTATTACTATTATTGTAAACAAACTGACCAATGTCCTTTTGTCTATAGGACAGGTAAAGAAGCTAACCATTATCCTAGTGTCTACATCGCTGGATAAACAATCTGACCATCATCTTAGTTTGCATCCTATGTATAAAAATGTGTTGCCTTTTCGTTGGTGAAACTCTCACAGAAATAATTTGATCAAATAAATTCCTCTTCAGATATGTTTCTGAGATTGTTATTTAATGATGGGAATATGCAAATGTTACAAAAGTTTTTGATTGCAACTTACATGACATTTACAATTAACATTTATACAGTGTCTCAATCATTGATTTTACATCTATATTTGCTCGAAAAATGAAGAAGTTGATAAACCTTTTTACCCTTACAGACCTACCCAACTGCTGGAAGGAAGGACAAGTTCATTACACGATTCCTGGTTCGGGAAATGTGGAACCAGATGACAGCTGTACAACTCCCATTGGAATCAGCCTCCGAATCTCTGGATGAGCAGGCTAAACAGGAAAGGTATTGACCACTTAAAACTTGCAAGGCTGCAGCAAGTACATGGTTTGGAATTTATTCCTATGTGATTCCAAGTGATTGTATGGAATATATAGATCTATTTGTTGTAGTCCTAGGGTAAAACACACAAAGTAAATTGATTTGAAGCACATTATGAAGTTCCCCACACCAGACATCACACTTAAGTGTGCCTTTTAACAGCTGTCAATCTTTACTTAATGATTGGTTGATTTGGATGTTTTTACTCCCAGTTTCAGTTATTACCATGTCTGGTATCATATATGTTGATATAGAAACTAGTCTATAGCATTATGTCACAGGGACTTCCCCACAACTAATTCAGTGCCAGGCACACATGTACAGCTAGGAGCCCTAGGTTTCATCTTTTAATCACAGAGACATAAAGCATGAACGTTTTCTTATAAGTGTTCATTATCATATTATGATGACTTATTACAACTTCTTGATCATGATCTCCATTGCCTTGTGGCATGTTTGGTTAATACTTGTAATGATGGAAACTTAGTATGGATAGTGGGATACAATAGGGCCAATTATTCCAGTTACCTCCAGCAGGGACGTATAGATAATTGACCAATTGCTATACAAAATGTTTAAAATTCAGCATTTCATACTGACTTTTAAAATAGGATATAAATGAGTGGTGGGTGCAGGGCAGATAGTAATGGGTGCAGCAGCGCCAAGGAGACTTGGTCTTGGGAATACCCTGATGTTATGTTACATACATTATCTACCCTGTATATGATGTTAATGAGGGGACGCTATTTACCCTAATGTTAACGTTTATACAAGCTGACATTATTTCCATTCTATGTTGTATTTCAGAGAGGATATTACGCCAGTACAATTATCCGACCTGAAGAAGAAGGATGGAGATGATATTGTCCCTGGTCGAGTTGGTCGCAGAGCAAAGCGCCAAGCCAGCAATCAGTCTCAGAGTAGTGTAAATACAGATGGTAGGTGTAGAGTCACTGTATCAGGGTACCTCAGGTGCAGAATTACTGTATCAGGGTACCACAGGTGTAGAGTTACTGTATCAGGGTACCACAGGTGTACAATCACTGTCTCAGGCTTCCACAGGTGTAGTCACTGTATCTGGGTACCACAGGTGTAGAGTTACTGTATCAAGGTACCACAGGTGTAGAGTTACTGTATCAAGGTACCACAGGTGTAGAGCTACTGTATCAGGGTACCACAGGTGTACAATCACTGTCTCAGGCTTCCACAGGTGGAGTCACTGTATCTGGGTACCACAGGTGTAGAGTTACTGTATCGGGGTACCACAGGTGTAGAGTCACTGGATCGGGGTACCACAGGTGTAGAGTCACTGGATCGGGGTACCACAGGTGTAGAGTCACTGGATCGGGGTACCACAGGTGTAGAGTCACTGTGTCAGGGTACCACAGGTGTAGAGTCACTGTATCAGGGTCCCACAGGTGTAGAGTTACTGTATCAGGGTACTACAGGTGTAGTCACTGTATCAGTGTACCACAAGTGTAGAGTCACTGTATCAGGGTACCACAGGTATAGAGTTACTGTATCACAATCACTGTCTCAGGCTTCCACAGGTGTAGTCACTGTATCGGGGTACCACAGGTGCAGAGTCACTGTATCAGGGGACCACAGGTGTAGAGTTACTGTATCAGGGTTCCACAGGTGTAGAGTCACTGTATCAGGGTCCCACAGGTGTAGAGTTACTGTATCAGGGTACACAGGGGTAGCCACTGTATCAGGGGACCACAAGTGTAGAGTCACTGTATCAGGGTACCACAGGTGTAGTCACTGTAACAGGGTACCACAAGTGTAGAGTCACTGTATCAGGGTACCACAGGTATAGAGTCACTGTATCAGGGTACCGCAGGTGTAGAATTACTGTATCAGGGTACCACAGTTTTAGAGTCACTGTATCAGGGTACCTCAGGTGTAGAGTTACTGTATCAGGGTACCATACAGATGGTAGGTGTAGAGTCACTGTATCAGGGTACCTCAGGTGTAGAGTTACTCACTGTATCAGGGTACCTCAGGTGCAGAATTACAGTATCAGGGTACCACAGGTGTAGAGTTACTGTATCGGGGTACCACAGGTGTAGAGTCACTGTATCAGGGTACCAAAGGTGTACAATCACTGTATCAGGCTTCCACAGGTATAGTCACTGTATCAGGGTACCGCAGGTGTAGAATTACTGTATCAGGGTACCACAGGTTTAGAGTCACTGTATCAGGGTACCTCAGGTGTAGAGTTACTGTATCAGGGTACCACAGCTGGTGTAGTCACTGTATCGGTGTACCACAGGTGCAGAGTCACTGTATCAGGGTACCACAGGTGTAGAGTTACTGTATCAGGGTACCACAGGTGTAGAGTTACTGTATCAGGGTACCACAGGTGTAGTCACTGTATCAGGGTACCACAAGTGTAGAGTCACTGTATCAGGGTACCACAGGTGTACAATCACTGTATCTGGGTACCACAGGTGTAGTGTCACTGTATCTGGGTACCACAGGTGTAGAGTTACTGTATCAGGGTACCACAGGTATAGAGTTACTGTATCAGGGTACCACAGGTGTAGAGTTACTGTATCAGAGTACCACATGTGTAGAGTTACTGTATCAGGGTACCACAGGTATAGAGTTACTGTATGAGGGTACCACAGGTGTAGAGTCACTGTATCAGGGTACCACAGGTGTAGAATCACTGTATCAGGGTACCAAAGGTGCACAATCACTGTATCAGGCTTCCACAGGTATAGTCACTGTATCGGGGTACCGCAGGTGTAGAGTTACTGTATCAGGGTACCACAGGTGTAGAGTCACTGTATCAGAGTACCACATGTGTAGAGTTACTGTATCAGGTTACCACAGGTGTAGTCACTGTATCAGGGTACCACAGGTGTAGAGTTACTGTATCAGGGTACCACAGGTGTAGAGTCACTGTATCAGGGTACTTCAGGTGTAGAGTTACTGTATCAGGGTACCAAAGGTGTAGAGTCACTGTATCAGGGTACCGCAGGTATAGAGTTACTGTATCAGGGTACCACAGGTGTAGAGTCACAGTATCAGAGTACCACATGTGTAGAGTTACTGTATCAGGTTACCACAGGTGTAGTCACTGTATCAGGGTACCACAGGTGTAGAGTCACAGTATCAGAGTACCACATGTGTAGAGTTACTGTATCAGGTTACCACAGGGGTACAGTTACTGTATCAGGGTACCACATGTGAAGACTTACTGTATCAGGGTACCAAAGGTGTAGAGTTACTGTATCAGGGTACCACAGGTGTAGAGTTACTGTATCAGGTTACCACAGGTGTACAGTTACTGTATCAGGGTACCACATGTGAAGAGTTACTGTATCAGGGTACCAAAGGTGTAGAGTTACTGTATCAGGTTACCACAGGTGTAGAGTCACTGTATCGGGGTACCGCAGGTGTAGAGTTACTGTATCAGGGTACCACATGTGTAGAGTCACTGTATCAGGGTACCACAGGTATAGAGTTACTGTATCAGGGTACCACAGGTATAGAGTCACTGTATCGGTGTACCACAGGTATAGAGTTACTGTATCAGGGTACCACAGGTGTAGTTACTGTATCAGGGTACCACAGGTATAGAGTTACTGTATCAGGGTACCACAGGTGTAGAGTCACTGTATCAGGGTACCACAGGTATAGAGTCACTGTATCAGGGTACCACAGGTGTAGAGTTACTGTATCAGGGTACCACAGGTGTAGAGTCACTGTATCAGGGTACCACAGGTATAGAGTCACTGTATCAGGGTACCACAGGTGTAGAGTTACTGTATCAGGGTACCACAGGTGTAGAGTCACTGTATCAGGGTACCACAGGTGTAGAGTCACTGTATCAGGGTACCACAGGTGTAGAGTCACTGTATCAGGGTACCACAGGTGTAGAGTCACTGTATCAGGGTACCACAGGTGTAGAGTCACTGTATCAGGGTACCACAGGTGTAGAGTCACTGTATCAGGGTACCACAGGTGTAGAGTCACTGTATCAGGGTACCACAGGTGTAGAGTCACTGTATCAGGGTACCACAGGTGTAGAGTCACTGTATCAGGGTACCACAGGTGTAGAGTCACTGTATCAGGGTACCACAGGTGTAGAGTCACTGTATCAGGGTACCACAGGTGTAGAGTCACTGTATCAGGGTACCACAGGTGTAGAGTCACTGTATCAGGGTACCACAGGTGTAGAGTCACTGTATCAGGGTACCACAGGTGTAGAGTCACTGTATCAGGGTACCACAGGTGTAGAGTCACTGTATCAGGGTACCACAGGTGTAGAGTCACTGTATCAGGGTACCACAGGTGTAGAGTCACTGTATCAGGGTACCACAGGTGTAGAGTCACTGTATCAGGGTACCACAGGTGTAGAGTCACTGTATCAGGGTACCACAGGTGTAGAGTCACTGTATCAGGGTACCACAGGTGTAGAGTCACTGTATCAGGGTACCACAGGTGTAGAGTCACTGTATCAGGGTACCACAGGTGTAGAGTCACTGTATCAGGGTACCACAGGTGTAGAGTCACTGTATCAGGGTACCACAGGTGTAGAGTCACTGTATCAGGGTACCACAGGTGTAGAGTCACTGTATCAGGGTACCACAGGTGTAGAGTCACTGTATCAGGGTACCACAGGTGTAGAGTCACTGTATCAGGGTACCACAGGTGTAGAGTCACTGTATCAGGGTACCACAGGTGTAGAGTCACTGTATCAGGGTACCACAGGTGTAGAGTCACTGTATCAGGGTACCACAGGTGTAGAGTCACTGTATCAGGGTACCACAGGTGTAGAGTCACTGTATCAGGGTACCACAGGTGTAGAGTCACTGTATCAGGGTACCACAGGTGTAGAGTCACTGTATCAGGGTACCACAGGTGTAGAGTCACTGTATCAGGGTACCACAGGTGTAGAGTCACTGTATCAGGGTACCACAGGTGTAGAGTCACTGTATCAGGGTACCACAGGTGTAGAGTCACTGTATCAGGGTACCACAGGTGTAGAGTCACTGTATCAGGGTACCACAGGTGTAGAGTCACTGTATCAGGGTACCACAGGTGTAGAGTCACTGTATCAGGGTACCACAGGTGTAGAGTCACTGTATCAGGGTACCACAGGTGTAGAGTCACTGTATCAGGGTACCACAGGTGTAGAGTCACTGTATCAGGGTACCACAGGTGTAGAGTCACTGTATCAGGGTACCACAGGTGTAGAGTCACTGTATCAGGGTACCACAGGTGTAGAGTCACTGTATCAGGGTACCACAGGTGTAGAGTCACTGTATCAGGGTACCACAGGTGTAGAGTCACTGTATCAGGGTACCACAGGTGTAGAGTCACTGTATCAGGGTACCACAGGTGTAGAGTCACTGTATCAGGGTACCACAGGTGTAGAGTCACTGTATCAGGGTACCACAGGTGTAGAGTCACTGTATCAGGGTACCACAGGTGTAGAGTCACTGTATCAGGGTACCACAGGTGTAGAGTCACTGTATCAGGGTACCACAGGTGTAGAGTCACTGTATCAGGGTACCACAGGTGTAGAGTCACTGTATCAGGGTACCACAGGTGTAGAGTCACTGTATCAGGGTACCACAGGTGTAGAGTCACTGTATCAGGGTACCACAGGTGTAGAGTCACTGTATCAGGGTACCACAGGTGTAGAGTCACTGTATCAGGGTACCACAGGTGTAGAGTCACTGTATCAGGGTACCACAGGTGTAGAGTCACTGTATCAGGGTACCACAGGTGTAGAGTCACTGTATCAGGGTACCACAGGTGTAGAGTCACTGTATCAGGGTACCACAGGTGTAGAGTCACTGTATCAGGGTACCACAGGTGTAGAGTCACTGTATCAGGGTACCACAGGTGTAGAGTCACTGTATCAGGGTACCACAGGTGTAGAGTCACTGTATCAGGGTACCACAGGTGTAGAGTCACTGTATCAGGGTACCACAGGTGTAGAGTCACTGTATCAGGGTACCACAGGTGTAGAGTCACTGTATCAGGGTACCACAGGTGTAGAGTCACTGTATCAGGGTACCACAGGTGTAGAGTCACTGTATCTGGGTACCACAGGTGTAGAGTCACTGTATCAGGGTACCACAGGTGTAGAGTCACTGTATCAGGGTACCACAGGTGTAGTCACTATATCAGGGTACCACAAGTGTAGAGTCATTGTATCAGGGTACCACAGTAGTCAACCACTTGTGCTTATAGAGATTGACATACATGTTAATATTTCAGAAGATGTAATATGGGGATAACTCTCGACTGGTAGGGTCATTGATTTTCAATAGGGAGATTTTCATAGTAAGCAATACTTAACCACAATCAGCATAATTAACATACTTATATGTTGAATATTCATCAATTAAAACCAGCTCTTCAAATTTTATTGAACTTTTTAGAGTCTTAATTTGAAACCTGAAACACTTTTCTGTTCTGGTAAAGTTTTATTGAACTGTAGGATTTGTCAAACATCATCATGATTTCAATTATAAACTCTCTAACAGGGTAACTTGAGTAAAATCGTGCTCTGTCAGAGAGATTTATAGAGGAGAAGGTGCTTTCAAAATAGAGATATTTTTATTCATTTGAATTGTTAATGTGTATTGGTGCAGTTGTGTTATAAACAAGAGCTCATAAGAATGAATACTGATTTGTGTTTGTTACAGGACTAATGACCCCTGTGAACCCTCTGGCCTTGACCTCTCAGGTGGACAGACTGACCACGTTACTCAACAGACTGGAACATAGTGTAAGTACATGTAATGATGAAGCAGACAGACTGATACTTTCAGAACTTACGTGTTATTTCATGATTGAAATGAGCATGTTAATCTAGATAACATACTTGTAATTTCATGATAAAATATAGCTGTTGTCATGTTAATAATATTATTTTTAGCAGAAGTTCTTGTCTTTCAATGTTTGTCATATATTTACATATAAACACTTCATCAGGTGTGTTTATCAGGTTGTTATGAATATATCTGTTGTTTATGAGAATAATCGTACTTACGACGTAATGTAATATCAACTATAATGATGATATTTGGTTGTAGTTTATAACTTGTGTAATAGACAGTGCAGTAGAATGCTTGCATTTGGTTGAGATGTCAGAGTTAATTGTTTTATAATATACTGTATAGGATAAATCAACCTCAGGCTGATGGATGTTAAGTTATGGCTAAATCATCGATGCCTTGAAAAATTGTACCTGTGTAAAATAACTCTGTTGCTTCTAATTACAGGTAGATTTAGGAAACTTTGTTGATGAAGATCTCAATGCTTTAGAGAGCGACAAGGTGAGATGTGAAAACAAGTTTATGTATGTAACCATGCAGACTGTTCAGAGTCTATACAAAAGTAGCACAATACTTTATTTTTTTCTTTAAGAAGTTATTCCTTTTACCATTGGCTTTATATACATTTTTTTTTATCTGAATAACCATTGTCCTTGGTCCATCCTTAAGCAATTTTATTTTTACTATTTCTCAATACTAAACAGATCTTTATCAATGTCATATGAAGGCTGCCCTTGGTCCAAAGTTGTGTATGTTTTATTTTGAATCTTATTGCAAATACAGAATGAACGCCAGGCAGCCATATTGGATTTTGATAGTTTAGTTTGTTATCACTATTTCTAAAGAAGTAAACAATGACCTCATCTTATAGGATACTCTCAAGACCATTTGTACAAAATCTTTATAAAAAAGTAGCACAAGATGCATTTACTGTTGACATGACTGTAAATTTATGTCAATCCAGCAGATGAAAGAAGATAAAAGATCAAACTAACATAAAACTAATGAAGATCTTATGATGTTAGGCACAAAGATCCCTCTGGGATCTCTTGTTTTCAAAACGCAGTTGAAAGTTTGCAGACTCATTGATTCATAATGCAGTAGTGCTGTGCCCATCATCTGTTCATTTATTAACTTTTCACATTTTTGAGATCTTCTAAAGAACTTTAAAGCATGGAGTCATGACATTTAGTCTACTGTTTGCTGGGATGAAGTGCAATCCAGATATCTTTTGACCAACTTTCAAGGTAGTGTTGGGAATCGGTTTTTATTTCATAATCGATGATCAGCTGTAATCGGTGCAAGTTTTTTGATCGATTTTCGATTATTAATCGGTTACCGAGGTAATCCAAATTGTATTGGTTTGCAATGTAAATTTAAAATCAAGGGTTGACTTATGTCCACCTGCTACTAAAAACCATTTTATACACTTTGAACTTTAAGCTCCAACTTGGCCAAAAGACATATTTGTTAGGAAAATTTACCTCCTAACCAATGCATAAGTAGTTTTTTAGGTGGATGCTAATCAGATAGCAATAGAAAACAGCATGCAATAATTTCAACCGATTAATTGATTATGGGATTTCATAATTGATTAATCGCAATTGGTTGTGTAACCGATTAGTTTTCGATTTTAATTGATCATCGGGACAACACTATTTCAAGGTCACAGGTATCAAATGTGTCAAAAAATTCACATAGCTGCTAATGAACCATGCAGCTTAGAGTGATGGTAAAGACTATTAGTCTTTTGTGCCCTCCTAGTTTGGAGAACAAGGAAAATGATATTGATCTGGTTTGTCCATTGGAACATTCGGGATTGGTGTTCTTTTTTGTTTGTGGCTTCAGCAGTGCTTCTATAATAGTCCCCTGAGGTTTGTAAACATGTACAACCCAAACATATGGATGACTGAAAAATGAAATTCCAGTCGGGTAGTTGCTGTAATTAAAGGACATTTTCATTGCGTCAGAAATGAAGTGCCCTTGAAGAATATTGAACTTTACGGTTCTGTTACAGTTGCTGCTGTTACAACGTGATATGAAGGTCAAAGAGGATTCAAAGGACGTCTTTAGGACAAGTCTACGAGACTACATAGAGGACACACAGAAGTTACTGCCCTGTCTGAGGTAAGTACCCCTAACCAGATATGGATGATATAGTAGTATGTCTCAGTAGACTACATAGAGGACACACAGGAGTAACTGCCTTGTCTGAGGTAAGTACCCCTTACCATATATGGATGATATAGTAGTATGTCTCAGTAGACTACATAGAGGACACACAGAAGTTACTGCCCTGTCTGAGGTAAGTACCCCTTACCATATATGGATGATAAAGTAGTATGTCTCAGTAGACTACATAGAGGACACACAGGAGTTACTGCCCTGTCTGAGGTAAGTACCCCTTACCATATATGGATGATAAAGTAGTATGTCTCAGTAGACTACATAGAGGACACACAGGAGTTACTGCCCTGTCTGAGGTAAGTACCCCTTACCATATATGGATGATAAAGTAGTATGTCTCAGTAGACTACATAGAGGACACACAGGAGTTACTGCCCTGTCTGAGGTAAGTACCCCTTACCATATATGGATGATAAAGTAGTATGTCTCAGTAGACTACATAGAGGACACACAGGAGTTACTGCCCTGTCTGAGGTAAGTACCCCTTACCATATATGGATGATAAAGTAGTATGTCTCAGTAGACTACATAGAGGACACACAGGAGTTACTGCCCTGTCTGAGGTAAGTACCCCTTACCATATATGGATGATAAAGTAGTATGTCTCAGTAGACTACATAGAGGACACACAGGAGTTACTGCCCTGTCTGAGGTAAGTACCCCTTACCATATATGGATGATAAAGTAGTATGTCTCAGTAGACTACATAGAGGACACACAGGAGTTACTGCCCTGTCTGAGGTAAGTACCCCTTACCATATATGGATGATAAAGTAGTATGTCTCAGTAGACTACATAGAGGACACACAGGAGTTACTGCCCTGTCTGAGGTAAGTACCCCTTACCATATATGGATGATAAAGTAGTATGTCTCAGTAGACTACATAGAGGACACACAGGAGTTACTGCCCTGTCTGAGGTAAGTACCCCTTACCATATATGGATGATAAAGTAGTATGTCTCAGTAGACTACATAGAGGACACACAGGAGTTACTGCCCTGTCTGAGGTAAGTACCCCTTACCATATATGGATGATAAAGTAGTATGTCTCAGTAGACTACATAGAGGACACACAGGAGTTACTGCCCTGTCTGAGGTAAGTACCCCTTACCATATATGGATGATAAAGTAGTATGTCTCAGTAGACTACATAGAGGACACACAGGAGTTACTGCCCTGTCTGAGGTAAGTACCCCTTACCATATATGGATGATAAAGTAGTATGTCTCAGTAGACTACATAGAGGACACACAGGAGTTACTGCCCTGTCTGAGGTAAGTACCCCTTACCATATATGGATGATAAAGTAGTATGTCTCAGTAGACTACATAGAGGACACACAGGAGTTACTGCCCTGTCTGAGGTAAGTACCCCTTACCATATATGGATGATAAAGTAGTATGTCTCAGTAGACTACATAGAGGACACACAGGAGTTACTGCCCTGTCTGAGGTAAGTACCCCTTACCATATATGGATGATAAAGTAGTATGTCTCAGTAGACTACATAGAGGACACACAGGAGTTACTGCCCTGTCTGAGGTAAGTACCCCTTACCATATATGGATGATAAAGTAGTATGTCTCAGTAGACTACATAGAGGACACACAGGAGTTACTGCCCTGTCTGAGGTAAGTACCCCTTACCATATATGGATGATAAAGTAGTATGTCTCAGTAGACTACATAGAGGACACACAGGAGTTACTGCCCTGTCTGAGGTAAGTACCCCTTACCATATATGGATGATAAAGTAGTATGTCTCAGTAGACTACATAGAGGACACACAGGAGTTACTGCCCTGTCTGAGGTAAGTACCCCTTACCATATATGGATGATAAAGTAGTATGTCTCAGTAGACTACATAGAGGACACACAGGAGTTACTGCCCTGTCTGAGGTAAGTACCCCTTACCATATATGGATGATAAAGTAGTATGTCTCAGTAGACTACATAGAGGACACACAGGAGTTACTGCCCTGTCTGAGGTAAGTACCCCTTACCATATATGGATGATAAAGTAGTATGTCTCAGTAGACTACATAGAGGACACACAGGAGTTACTGCCCTGTCTGAGGTAAGTACCCCTTACCATATATGGATGATAAAGTAGTATGTCTCAGTAGACTACATAGAGGACACACAGGAGTTACTGCCCTGTCTGAGGTAAGTACCCCTTACCATATATGGATGATAAAGTAGTATGTCTCAGTAGACTACATAGAGGACACACAGGAGTTACTGCCCTGTCTGAGGTAAGTACCCCTTACCATATATGGATGATAAAGTAGTATGTCTCAGTAGACTACATAGAGGACACACAGGAGTTACTGCCCTGTCTGAGGTAAGTACCCCTTACCATATATGGATGATAAAGTAGTATGTCTCAGTAGACTACATAGAGGACACACAGGAGTTACTGCCCTGTCTGAGGTAAGTACCCCTTACCATATATGGATGATAAAGTAGTATGTCTCAGTAGACTACATAGAGGACACACAGGAGTTACTGCCCTGTCTGAGGTAAGTACCCCTTACCATATATGGATGATAAAGTAGTATGTCTCAGTAGACTACATAGAGGACACACAGGAGTTACTGCCCTGTCTGAGGTAAGTACCCCTTACCATATATGGATGATAAAGTAGTATGTCTCAGTAGACTACATAGAGGACACACAGAAGTTACTGCCCTGTCTGAGGTAAGTACCCCTTACCATATATGGATGATATAGTAGTATGTCTCAGTAGACTACATTGAGGAAACACAGGAGTTACTGCCCTGTCTGAGGTAAGTACCCCTTACCATATATGGATGATATTGTAGTATGTCTCAGTAGACTACATTGAGGAAACACAGGAGTTACTGCCCTGTCTGAGGTAAGTACCCCTTACCATATGTGGATGATATAGTAGTCTGTCTCAGTAGACTACATAGAGGACACACAGAAGGTACTGCCCTGTCTGAGGTAAGTACCCCTTACCATATATGGATGATATAGTAGTATGTCTCAGTAGACTACATTGAGGAAACACAGGAGTTACTGCCTTGTCTGAGGTAAGTACCCCTTACCATATGTGGATGATATAGTAGTCTGTCTCAGTAGACTACATAGAGGACACACAGAAGGTACTGCCCTGTCTGAGGTAAGTACCCCTTACCATATATGGATGATATAGTAGTATGTCTCAGTAGACTACATTGAGGAAACACAGGAGTTACTGCCTTGTCTGAGGTAAGTACCCCTTACCATATGTGGATGATATAGTAGTCTGTCTCAGTAGACTACATAGAGGACACACAGAAGGTACTGCCCTGTCTGAGGTAAGTACCCCTTACCATATATGGATGATATTGTAGTATGTCTCAGTAGACTACATTGAGGAAACACAGGAGTTACTGCCCTGTCTGAGGTAAGTACCCCTTACCATATATGGATGATATAGTAGTATGTCTCAGTAGACTGCATTGAGGAAATACAGGAGTTACTGCCCTGTCTGAGGTAATAAATGTTTTGTTGGCACAATGAAGCCTTGTTTATCATATGCTAAAAGTGTTGAAAACATTTACACTAACCTTCTCAAAAAATGATCATCCCAAAAAATATATAAGCTTGTGCAGTAATCCATCACAGATAGTGCTTTTAAGGTTATTTTAAAACCCATTTTAAGCTTTAATATATTCTAGTTTGAACATTTTGATGGGAGGTAACTCTGTCAGACTTGATGGCAGTTTTCCAGTATGAGCTTGCAGTTAAGAAAAAACTTATTCTATATATTAAACTAGGCTTTAATTAAAAAATTGCAGACATAAAGCATTTGATAAAGCCTTCATGTGATAGATTTGGATCACCACTCAATCCCTCAACAGTTGTGCAGTTATGTTGGATGTTTAGAAGAAAAGAAACCAGTATTTTTTGTCTGTTTTTAGTATCAGTGTACAGTTCTGTACTGACTCAGGAGTATTCACTGTGTATGAAGTGTGGCGGTCTGCTGAAGATCAGGCATGGTAAGTAAAAGTGTTCTGTGCGGTCTCCGGGTTAGTCTGTTAAGTAATGGTGTCTTACATAGAGCACACGGTGGGATCTTTAAAAAAACACTTAAATCAACTTCTTAGTTGATTTGAAGCATATTAAATATATGCATGTTGTGTGTAAGTATTATTCAATACAACAATCTTCATTATAAAATATGTCAGATTTAACAGAAACAACATACAAAGATAATCTGACAGTGACAGGAAATGTCAATATCTGTAATACATAATGAAACAAAATTAGAAGGTAGTACAACACATTGTTAAATCTTTCTATTTATGATTAAACATATTTTCATTTCTGCAATTTTGTTTTATTTATTTAGTATGACACATGTACAATTAAAACTTAAGCAAAACCAGTAGGTTACATTTCAGCAATGTTAATTAAAGATCAAAAAATATTTTTATAAAAGTTCCCCAAACAGAAAAAAAGCAGGATTTAATAAGAACAAACAACACTCCTGAACTATGGTTCAAATTATGGCTTTTAATTGTTTCCTTCCTCTTACTATTGTAGAATGCTATCGATATTTCAAACAAAAAGTTTTGGAGATAGTTCCTTTTCCATGTTTTGTGATGTGATTGTTGAAATTCCTTCAGATCATGAACTGTTTGTTTCAGTTACAGTGAAGATCCTGCCAAGTCTTTTACTGAACGTTTCAAGGATTTCTTAGACACTGAGGTGCCTATGCGAAAAGTGGACTTTCCTAGTAAGTGGCTCAACAAGTATCGGAAAAGTCGATGATTTTAGCTCCCCTGCCTGGATGGCAAATAAGCTTATACCATGATGCTCTCCCTGCTGTCTGTCATTATTTTTTCCTTAAAACTATTCTAGTCAAGAACAGCTTCGGAGCAGCTTTTGCCTGGTTTTAGTATTGAGAATTGTTGTATAATTGGGGGATGTGTTAAATTTGGGGCAGAATTGCAGGTACAATAAGGGAAATAAAAGTAAATTGTTAAAATCCCTATTCCTTTACTATGGGTGAAGAGATTTTAATCAACCATTTGGTCTGGAAAATAATTTGACCAATGGGACTCAGCATTGTAAAAATGAAGTTGATTCACTTCCTGGGGGAGGGGCCCTAATACAGAAATTCTGGGTTTACAGTTGTAAACGAGGACCCCCACTAGATAACTGCATACACCCATAGTTAACTTAAGGAGATAGATACATCAATGCCACCAAGATTGACACTTGGTTCCTGCCTTGCCCCCAGGGACTCAGTCCTTCAGTTATCTCTTGAAAGTGGACAAGATCCCCACCCTGAATAGTAGAGTGTCATGCTACCATGTGAAGGCTATAAACCTCGCCGAGATGGTAGTTATAATGTGGCCTATCAGTGGCTTCTTCATCTGCGGACACCATCTTTATTATGTACTATGTAAAAAGCTGTTGTGAGGTTGCAAAATCTTAAACATAAATTGCTCATGAAATGTTCAAATGATCAATTTTCAGGTAAATGGTGGAAGAGAGACTAAGCAGTGGGAAAGGCAGGATGACAAAATGTCGTATTTCTATCATTGGAGATGGCCAGCTTCAATACGAAAGAGTTAAATGCGAGAAAATTCTACTAGTAAAGCAGATGTTGAAGCTGAAAGAGAGTTACCTCAATTCTAATTCTTTTAAAGATATTGCAGTTGTTTACGACTATTGTTATTTTATTAACAAAACTGTTTCTGAATCTCTTGTTGAATTTTATTTTGAATTTATACATGTTAGTATACATATGGTATATGTATCATAAAATAATGATAATTATTGGAACTGTTTCAAATTTGTCTTTATCATTCTTCTTATCAGTTTTTAAAAATCAGTCATATCTACAAATTGTGTTGGTGTCAATGTTCTTAAGATTTTAAGGAGAGAGACTCAACATTTTCTACAGTATACACACCCTGATGAGTTATTTTCCCATTCAAATTTTGTTACTTCCTTTATATTGTTTAATAGAACATTTGAAAATTATTCAGGGTAATACTGCAGAATAGCATTGACATAACAAATATAATGACTGGTAGCCCAGTGTACAAGATCCCTTTATAATTAAATGTCCAACAAATATAATGACTGGTAGTCCAGTGGACAAGATCCCTTTATAATTAATTAAATGTCCAACAATAAAATTCCCATAGCTGAGATGGTTCTATGAAAAATAAAATGAAAATAAATATTTATTTCATAGTACTATTCTTTCTTATTGTAAATTTTCAAAATTGCCAAACAAAATTGAACTCTTCTTTGTTTGCGATAAAACTTAGAAAAACCACTTATGTGACAGAGATCTGTTAACAAAGATGTGTTGAGTGTTTTTATTACTTGGCAATACAAACTTATGCAACTTATGATATGATAGCCCTGTAATTATTTGTTTGTCTGTTATATGCATATTAACCCTTTCACCACTGTTACCATAATGGACTCAACCAGATCAAAGCATTGTAGAGTCTATTGAAGTTACATAGGGCTGAAAGGAAGATGATGTCTAACAGTATGTTGGAACCTAAGAGTGATAAATATCTTTTGAAATAGTAATATTGCAATAAATATATAAATGAGTAAGTGCATGAACTGTGGCGTCTCGCCATGTGACTTTTATGTTGTACATATCAATGTTACATGTCAGTGTTTTACCGTTGTCTGTCACTCAGTGTGACCTCCAGGACCAAACAAACATCAATATCTCAAATGTCCTCCATGTCATTTTTTTATATTGTTTAATGTCTCATTCTTGTTGAGATAGTAGCACTTATTGCTTTATTCAAGAAACCCTGTTACCGACTTTGCAACAAAAAACATAATGGCCAGTATAATTTTGTCATTTTGTACCTAATGGTAGACTAGTATAAGCATTTGACATTTGATTATCATTATGATTACTGATTTGTAGTAGTGAATTTTTACTTCCTTTTATTTGCTTATACTGTCTTTTCCAAAAGTGAAAATTTCACTTTACTGTGGCCTGAAAGTCACCTCTATTAAGCAGGTCATTTAGGTTTTTTACCATGACTTTGTGCAGTGTACTGTGTCCGTCATCAGTCAGTGTAATCATACCTTTAACTATTTTTGATAGGTATATTTTAAAATGTCTTGAGCCTTTGTGGATTTCTCTTGTAATGTAATGTATTTAATATATAGAAAATGTGTCATACGTATTTGTCAAGTCACAGTTTTTCCCGCCATCTCTAATGGTACCATGTACAAAAATGTTTTTCATTGTCATTAGTGTTTTTTTATTGTGTTATATGTTTTTCTGTTTTACAAGTTTTAGGTGTGTTCTGTACCTCAGAATATATCTACTTATTCTGTGAATAGCCACCTCTGTGATTATATATATCGATCATTGTGCTCTTTAGTGAGTTTCTTGTTAATAGTACATGTTTATGATCTTAATAGTTGAGTTAAATCCAATGCTTAAAGGCTTCTGGTTATCTGTTACCAATCAGTATCTGCAGTGTATCCAACTTAATTGACTGTTTTAGCTCACCTGACATGTTGTATATGGGACTCTGAGTCCATGATCTGACAGTTTGTCAAAAACAACTTCTACCACAGGACCTAAAGTAATGATGCTTGTTCTGTAGCATGCTGGTTTACAAAAATGAAATTTAATGCATAAGGATTAAATGTGTTAAAATATTCAAACAATTCCTCTCACGACCTGAAGGCCTATGATATTATGCTTATGGTTTGTTCGAGGTAAACATGGCAATCTTTCTAACTAGTCAGATATTTAACTTTGTACAATTGACGAGGTTGATATGCTGTTTTTCGAACTATATATCATATGGACTAGGCAAGGCTTGAACCTTACTGTAATAAAGTACAGAATTGGGAAAACTATGTGACTATATCAATCACATTCTTAAAGATTACAGGAAATCAAATTAAGTGGGATGCACAGTTGGTATAGAAAGGACATGAACAATTGCCAAGCACATCAATACTGATACTATTTATTCATTTTAAAGTGAATTGCATTTCTCAATAATGTTTCCTATGGATCATGACATGTAATGGTTATTGCATTGTCTGTAAAGAATGATTATTACTATGTAGTAGGATAGACACGCTTTTGATGAGATCTAGATTATTTGTGAATAAGTAATAAATGTTCAGGAGTTGTGTATAATATCACAATTCTTGTTGTGTATTGTAATCTTCTGAAATACAAATGGATTATATTTGCACTTATAATAATGTCTGTATATGCATAATCAATTGGTAATTTCTTCTTAAGATATATTGTCCATATAAGAACCAAATTTTGCACTTGATTTATTTATATTAATACATATGTAAGGTGTAATTTTGTACCCTAACTTTGTCATTTCTGAATTAGATGATTGTGAATGTTGATCATCATGACAGAACTTGGAACATTTAATTGCGATGAATGGCATATAATACTCTGTGACCTCGAATCTTACTAGTGTCACGAAAGTAATCAAAGGTGATACAATACACAATACATACAAGTTGTAGACATCGTTGGAGATAACATTTAGTACAAAACCAACACATTGATTTTTTCTCGCACCAAACTCCAATTACTCATCCTTTATGTTAGTTTACCTGATGTACTGAAACACTCCGTTAAAGCTTACACAAAGTAACACAATAAAACTCTGTTAAAGCTTANCTCCTTAATAATTAAATGTCCAACAAATATAATGACTGGTAGCCCAGTGGACAAGATCCCTTTATAATTAAATGTCCAACAAATATAATGACTGGTAGTCCAGTGGACAAGATCCCTTTATAATTAATTAAATGTCCAACAATAAAATTCCCATAGCTGAGATGGTTCTATGAAAAATAAAATGAAAATAAATATTTATTTCATAGTACTATTCTTTCTTATTGTAAATTTTCAAAATTGCCAAACAAAATTGAACTCTTCTTTGTTTGCGATAAAACTTAGAAAAACCACTTATGTGACAGAGATCTGTTAACAAAGATGTGTTGAGTGTTTTTATTACTTGGCAATACAAACTTATGCAACTTATGATATGATAGCCCTGTAATTATTTGTTTGTCTGTTATATGCATATTAACCCTTTCACCACTGTTACCATAATGGACTCAACCAGATCAAAGCATTGTAGAGTCTATTGAAGTTACATAGGGCTGAAAGGAAGATGATGTCTAACAGTATGTTGGAACCTAAGAGTGATAAATATCTTTTGAAATAGTAATATTGCAATAAATATATAAATGAGTAAGTGCATGAACTGTGGCGTCTCGCCATGTGACTTTTATGTTGTACATATCAATGTTACATGTCAGTGTTTTACCGTTGTCTGTCACTCAGTGTGACCTCCAGGACCAAACAAACATCAATATCTCAAATGTCCTCCATGTCATTTTTTTATATTGTTTAATGTCTCATTCTTGTTGAGATAGTAGCACTTATTGCTTTATTCAAGAAACCCTGTTACCGACTTTGCAACAAAAAACATAATGGCCAGTATAATTTTGTCATTTTGTACCTAATGGTAGACTAGTATAAGCATTTGACATTTGATTATCATTATGATTACTGATTTGTAGTAGTGAATTTTTACTTCCTTTTATTTGCTTATACTGTCTTTTCCAAAAGTGAAAATTTCACTTTACTGTGGCCTGAAAGTCACCTCTATTAAGCAGGTCATTTAGGTTTTTTACCATGACTTTGTGCAGTGTACTGTGTCCGTCATCAGTCAGTGTAATCATACCTTTAACTATTTTTGATAGGTATATTTTAAAATGTCTTGAGCCTTTGTGGATTTCTCTTGTAATGTAATGTATTTAATATATAGAAAATGTGTCATACGTATTTGTCAAGTCACAGTTTTTCCCGCCATCTCTAATGGTACCATGTACAAAAATGTTTTTCATTGTCATTAGTGTTTTTTTATTGTGTTATATGTTTTTCTGTTTTACAAGTTTTAGGTGTGTTCTGTACCTCAGAATATATCTACTTATTCTGTGAATAGCCACCTCTGTGATTATATATATCGATCATTGTGCTCTTTAGTGAGTTTCTTGTTAATAGTACATGTTTATGATCTTAATAGTTGAGTTAAATCCAATGCTTAAAGGCTTCTGGTTATCTGTTACCAATCAGTATCTGCAGTGTATCCAACTTAATTGACTGTTTTAGCTCACCTGACATGTTGTATATGGGACTCTGAGTCCATGATCTGACAGTTTGTCAAAAACAACTTCTACCACAGGACCTAAAGTAATGATGCTTGTTCTGTAGCATGCTGGTTTACAAAAATGAAATTTAATGCATAAGGATTAAATGTGTTAAAATATTCAAACAATTCCTCTCACGACCTGAAGGCCTATGATATTATGCTTATGGTTTGTTCGAGGTAAACATGGCAATCTTTCTAACTAGTCAGATATTTAACTTTGTACAATTGACGAGGTTGATATGCTGTTTTTCGAACTATATATCATATGGACTAGGCAAGGCTTGAACCTTACTGTAATAAAGTACAGAATTGGGAAAACTATGTGACTATATCAATCACATTCTTAAAGATTACAGGAAATCAAATTAAGTGGGATGCACAGTTGGTATAGAAAGGACATGAACAATTGCCAAGCACATCAATACTGATACTATTTATTCATTTTAAAGTGAATTGCATTTCTCAATAATGTTTCCTATGGATCATGACATGTAATGGTTATT